AGCCTTTGTCTTGACCTGATCTCTTCTTTGGTCTTCCCGCCTGTTCCCTGCTGTATCTTAACCATTAGCCTCTAGCATGGCCCTGATGGAGCTCCACTTTCACAACAGGTCCTGCCTCCTGGAGTAGTCTCTCTTTAATCCCCCATCTGCAGCACCTGGGCAGCACTGTTTATCTGCCTTGCCACCAGGCCACCCAACATCTCTGGTTCCCTTGTTCTCCAGCATCGGGCCATTTGCGTGTGATCTCCAGCTCATCTGCTTACTTTTACTCTTTGGATGCTACCTCCCTACCAGCCCTTGTTGACCAAGTTGCTTTTTTTCTTCAGCATGCCTGTCTGCCGTGTGTGTGCATTCAGGTCTTGTCTGAACTGTACTTTTTTTTTTAATGTCAGGGGTCAAAGAAAAATGTTTTCTTCCTATTGATTTTTGCCATCTTTGTAGTGAGATGCTTAACAACGCCACTGAGACTCTCAGAGCAGCACATTTCGTAAGTTATAGCATTTGAACTCAGTATTTCAACATCAGTCACACAACACCAGCAGCATGATAATCAGCCGTGTTTTGTTTCTGAGACGAAGGCTTTTCTCTCTTGCTGTGTCTAAATCTACATTTAAATCTAAAATTTAAATACACTCATTTGTGTAGTAGTGCAGTCGACCACAAATGTTTATTAATCTCTTTTCATGTCTGTGGTGAAATGTCCACACACCTCTATTGATTTTTTTTTAAACTAAACCTACCTCGGCTTCCCTGGCATACTTTGAAGTGTGTTTCATTTCGATTGCTCCATGAGTCCTCATTAGTTAACATATATATTCAACTCTTGTCCCTGACATCTGAATTTCAACCTTTCCGAAACTCTGTGTAAAACTTCCAGCTGACCCACACGTCTAGCAGGGAATGTGGAGGGAAAATGAATTATACGCTTCAGCCTAATTAACACAGTGAGGATCGCAACCTGAGAAATCCAAGGTGAGCCTCAAGGGTATCTTAATTGTCTGAAATGACTCTGAGTAAAAGCTTCAAAAGTCTCTCTGTGACACTCTTGTCATTAGTGGATAACAGATTCTTTAGAAGACGTATCATTTCATAGCCCTGAGGTGATTTTGTTAGCGCCTGAACGTGTCCCTTGAGGATAGTAGGACATGTGGCTCTGCAGTCCAACACGTAGGTGAGCAAGACTTAAACCTAAATGCATCACGCTGGCTGTGAGATTGGATCTCATCATGCAGTATATAGGCTGTCAAACCAGTGCAAGTCAGTAAAGACCAATACCTTTTATGTCCTTGGAGTCAGTGCACTGACAGTCTTTTATGTCTTAAATCCATTACAAAACATACTGGTACTTGATCATTGTAAATGGAGGCTAAAGACAACAGTGAGATTGCTACAGAGTAGATTTAAAATTATTCATTGTAGTACTTAAAGGAACTGGTTGTCTAACGGAGCCTTGTACAGAAACGGGGAACACGAGGAACAAAAATAACACTTGTACACTTTAAGGGTCTGTGTTTGTATTTAACATTACTTATATTTAGTCACAGCTGGAGAGGTGAGGTTGACATTGGAATTTTAATGTGCCTGTGGGCGGAGTCTGTCTGCTTCATCCTTTACGCATCCGGACCTGATCATTTAAAGGCTGGATGTTATCTCAGTTCCTTGCCATGTAATCCTCACTACAATAGTGAAGATAGGGCCAACTCTGTCACCTGTGATTAGCGCTTTTGTTCGCCAGCTAACCGTGAGTCTCTCTGCTCCTTTCAGCTGCCAGCCTCGTGCACAAGTGAATCATCTGTCTCTCTGGAATTCTTAAATCTTCCGACTTGTGAAAACCTCCAACCACACTTTAGCCTGCTTTAGCTTGGAAACTCAAAAGCCTGTAGAGAAAAGGACTCACCCACCCATTCTCCAACAGTCATGTTTGCCCACCACAGAAACCTCGCCCCATAGGCAGCTCCCGGGGATAAATCCACCTCTAACTCAAATAAGATGGTTCTAATCCCTACAATCAAGTGCTCAAAACGCCCCCTACATTTAAGCCATCGCTGACTCTGTCTCTCCTCATCCACAGAGCCCAGCCCGGCAGCTTCCACCACTTTAGATTTGTTTATTAACTTTATTGTAAATAAACTGTGAATAAACTAAATATTCATAAAGCATTCATAATAATAATATTACCAGTGTCATTTAAATTTAACCTGCAATCATAAATCATTGTGTGTTGTTTACCTTAAACTGAGCCCTACAAATCTTTTGGAAGTAAGTCTTCTGTCATGTTGCTTTGTCAAGAGTAAAGCTCCATACACTGATTAGCCACAGTGTTAAAACCACAATGATTTTGTTGGATCATTTTGTTAAATTACATCATACTGAGAAGCCAACAGTTCGTGCACAAACAAAGTCATTTACCACCTGCCTAAGCACTGTTGCAGATCAAGTGGTTAGTGGTTTCTTTCTTCCCTTGCTAACAGCAGCACACCACACTTCAAAAATTCCCCTTTCTTGTGTTTGTGCAGCACAGTGTTATCCTGCGGTCCCTCGATTTCAATCCGACGAAGCATTTGTGGGATTCACCAGAACAAGCTCGATCCAGAGAGACCCCTCCCCACAACAAAGGAAGCCAGAGGATCTACAGTGTTGTTCATATTCACTCATAACACAATCGTTTGCACCAAACTGACTGCTGTTCGCCATTCCTTGATGAGTGAAGGGTATAAAAGCAAACTTTTTACCAACGATATTGTAAGCACATAACAGTGTTCTCACCTGCCCAGTACTTTGATGATTAACGTGGCAGACAGGGCTCCGAAAAGGCCTCCAATAGAAAATATGGACACTGTGACGGACCAGAGGAGGGTCACCGTCTCCGCTGAAATAGGCTCCCCATATCTCTCAATCCATGTCTTATTGTAGAAAGCTTTAATGTACTGCATTACAAAAGGAACAAAAAGAGATGTTTTAAATGTGTTATTCATATGGATAAATGGTGAAAAAAACAAAAAACATTGATATTTAAAAAGTTAAACCTAGAAACCCCCAACACATGTTTACAGAATATCATGTGTATCATGAGTGTGTTTTTACATTTCCAATCTGACTTTATGACCTAAACTTTGCCTGAAGAAAAGGACTAGCAGGAAATGATTGTTAAATGATATGACATTTTGTTTTAATACCAGTAATAATATTGGTAAGATTTTATATCTGGTCTCCACAATATGCAAATAAATTAATTTCAGTAGGCTTAATGCAGGCACGTCATTAGCCCTGGGTCCATGCCCTGGATGTTTATTGAATAGTTCCAGATTTCATAAAAGAATTGTTTATTCTTTGCATCTGTCACATGTGAAACACTCTTATCTCTGACCTAGCTGCCTTAATGCAATCTAAAATGTGTTCATGTGTTCATATACGTGATTGATTGACTCATTGTATCCAATAAAATTAATAAATGACGTGTAAAACACCTAATCAATCATCACATCAAAAGTTTGAGATTTGGATAGTTTGACTGGAGCATCATGATAGCATTCTTTTTACAAAAAGGACAAAAGACAGAGCAAGAGCAGAGGCACCAAACTTACATGTCAACATACAGACTTGCATATAACTGCTTCATCAGCATCATAGTTTTAATGCTACTGCTTAAAGTTAAAGTGAAAAACTCAAATTACACTGATTGCTTATTTCAGTATCATCCTGTCAAAGCAACATTAAAGCATCTGACTTCAACCTTTAAGTAGCAGACAGTGTCTGACGTTTTATATAACTTTACTTTAAAAAATAGCAAATAGCTTAATAGCAACAAACTGAGTGACTTCATTAAGAAGTTGAAGCACAATGAGTCAGTGAATGCGTCGCATTAAATTAATGGCACTTGTATCAACCCACGAGAATTCTAAAGTGTCTTCATCGAGCGTGCAGACGTTGGTTGCATAGAAAGCAAAGAAAGGGGCCTTGTAGTGTTTTGATCTTTCATTTAACAACTGCGACTCTGTTGAATTCCTGTTAAACCAAAGCTGAAGCCCTCCCTGTCTTTAGCACTGTCAGGAAGGGCAGTGGTCACACAGTCGCTGTCATTGCTTGCTTTGGCTTAGGAGCTGCTCATTGTAAACATCACGTATCACGAGCATGATTGCCGGCTTTGCTTAACTTAAGACTGAAAAATGACCTTTGATGTCACTTCAAATTTGCTGAAAACAATTCTATCGCTAGGAAAAAAAGGGGGGGGTTACAGGTTACACCAGTTTCTACAGGGTTTTCATCACCCTTATCGCTACTTTTACTGAAGATCAGCCAAGTCACGTGCTATAGATAAATAATTACCAAAGATATGACTTCACATCACTCCCTGCAAACATCCACCGAGTTCAGTTATTCATGTGTTGAACAGTTATTTCTCACCAGCATCACAGCCACAAAACACAATCGATATTTTTAGATTTTGTACCATGGCAACATCTGTTTGACACGGCTATATAATATTTTACGCTCACTGGTTTTCTGTCAGAGTGAAGCTGTTCATGAGTCGATCTGTTGTTGTGTTGTCTCAGTTAATGTCAAGCTGTCGTAAGAAATGTTTGCATAAATACTGATTAAGACTCCTTCATTTTTATAACAGGTGTTGTGTCGAGGGGAGATTAATGTCATGCCACTATCATGCACATTAATTCAAAGATGTTACTGGTGCACCCAGTTAACTCCAAGAAAATGTCTTTGTGAAGATTTCTTTAGCAGGGTAAATTTGATGTCTACAGAAAATGAAGGTAGTTATACATTATTAATGAGTAAATTCCCATCATCCTGACATTGTCTGGAAGTGGAATGAAGAGTAGCAAATAGTTTTTTGCCCCTACTTTGATGCTTCTCCTCTAAGATGAGTAGAGGTTTGTGGTCTACTTGCATATCTAATGTCTGATACCTCAATAGCTCGACCTATTAGAGTTCAATGGAAATGAATTTTTAACACTTCATATAATATTCCTTTGCCCACATTTGAAGATGGCTCGCTGCTGGGGGTGGCCCTGCTGTGCGTGGAGAAAGCTGAATGTTCATTTATAGGTTTTTGTGCCGCTTGTAGAAATGATTGTGGCTTTAGTGAACTATTAAAGAGATCGACTCGGTCTTTTTTGAAATGTAGTGAGAACTCTGTCTGTAATATTCCTTCTGTTGTGTTATCCTCATTCAACTCGACGTTTTTGTTGGTTTATTCTGTTCGGCTTTTGTAAAGACAGCAGGAGAAGTGGTGAGCCCTACTGAGGTGGAGGAGAGCCGGCGCTGCATAAATGATCAGCTGGTGCTTCTGGTGGGCAGATTCTATAAAGGGGAGTAAACAAAAAAGCAATGGCTCAACAACGACGTAAACTGGAGAATTAGCTGCAAAATACAGATTAAACAGTAGGTGGGACTTTTAAGTTTGCTAAAGCAGAAAACAAAATATCCAGGCAACAGATTTTGGGGTTGTGCAGAGTGGAACTGTGTGCAAAGAAGATCTGGAAGGTTAATTTTTGTTTGCTTGTTTTTTTAATTACTTCTCAATTTTTTTTTATTATTATTTTTTGTTAAGTGCATTTTACACCCTACTAATTCCATGCAGTAATCAGTAGGTCGCTTGAAAATGAGAACCTGTGTCTCAGTGAGGTTCATTTGTATAAATAACGGTGAAATAAATTTAAAATATAAAATAAAATCATGGGAGAAGGGAGCCGGAGGTCGACAGACGGATTGGGGCTGCAGCTGCAGTAATGCGGACACTGCACCGGTCCGTCGTGGTGAGGAGGGAGCTGAGTGTAAAAGCGAAGCTCTCAATTTACCGGTCGATCTACGTCCCTACCCTCACCTATGGCCACGAGCTGTGGGTAGTGACCGAAAGAACGAGATCGCGGATACAAGCGGCGGAAATGAGCTTCCTCCGAAGGGTGGCTGGCCTCTCCCTTAGAGATCGGGTGAGAAGTTCGGCCATCCGGGAGGGGCTCAGAGTAGAGCCGCTGCTGCTCCACATCGAAAGGAGCCAGCTGAGGTGGTTCGGGCATCTGACAAGGATGCCTCCTGGGCGCCTCCTGGGTGAGGTGTTCCGGGCATGTCCCACCGGGAGGAGGCCCCGGGGCAGACCCAGGACACGCTGGAGAGATTATATCTCTCGGCTGGCCTGGGAACGCCTTGGTGTTCCCCCGGATAAGCTGGAGGAGGTGGCTGGGGAGAGGGAGGTCTGGGCCTCTTTGCTTAGGCTGCTGCCCCTGCAACCCGGCCTCGGATAAAGCGGATGAAGATGGTTGGATGGATGGAAAATAAAATCATCACATTTCTGAACAAATTGTTAAAAAGGAAAGCCTTAATAGTATGTAGGCTGTGTTTTGTTGAGTTCTACCAAGTATAGAGAAGTGAACGATTTGAAACATTAGGATTGAAGCCCTTAAGGTTCAGATAAAACCAGCCTGTTATAAAGTCTCACACAGCGTAAACCCAGGGTGGACATAATGTTTTTAATGAAAGCAAAGAAATTTCAGTTATAGCCTGCCACTAAGAAATTTGGAGGATATGTAGAAGATCATGCATGTACAGCATTTAAAGAATAATCCACTTGGATAGTAGCATAGCAGGTCCTAGAGAACATAATAACATGATGTCCTTGACAAGAAAACAACATTTCAAAACTTTACATTCTGAAATAAAAAATAGTGGGAAAATTATTGTCATTGTTTAGACGAAGAATGCATTGTTCATAATCTGTGCTATACTCCTCTTATTTATGAGAGGTACTGTGACAAAATATGCAGGCTCTTGGTAAGCGTACAACTACCACCCCCTATATATTGTTTTCAAGCTTGTTTGGAGGATTCATAATGTACTGAAGGCATCATATGAATCTGTTCTGTTAAAATCTTCCCATATAAGGTCAATCATGTATTTTCAAATTTATTTTAAAATATGGACACTGTTAAGAGCAGTATCAAAATGTGAAATTACACTGAACTGTCAGAAAGTACACTGTAAAACATAATATTATGCTTAATTTAAAATATAAAGTTGTCACGGCTGGGGCGGCAGTCGTGTGGAGGTGAGAAGGAGGATCCAAATAGCAGCCAGTGGTGGAGGTGCAAGTGAGATTTATTTACAGTGAGTAATAACCAAGAAGCGGGCAGAACCAAAACATAAACCTAAACTGGGAAAATCAGAATGGAAATCAGAGCCAACGGGACAGGGGAAACGTAAACTGAACACACTCACATGAGACGGGGACCTTCAGAATAAGACAGGAAACTCACAGACACAGAGAACTAGACGAGACACTGAACTTAGACAGATTCACACGCAGACAGTGTGACACCATAGACAGACAGAACACGGACGTGGGACCAGGGCAGGCTCAGAACAGAACTCTAACAAATGGCAAATAATAACAGAATACATACTCAGAATAACAAAAGCACAAAGAAACACAAAACACTGAGTCGGCAGACTCAGGACCACGACAAAAGTAGACTGAATTCAGTTTTTATCAGCTTTCTAAACTACAGCTCCTTAATCTAAGCTTGGGAATTGTACTACGATGAAAAATAAAATCATTTTAACATCTCACCTTTTTGTTTTGTGTTCAAGAAGCAACATGAGATGTGTGAGGATGAGAGGACACAGCTCACAGTGAACCAGCAGCAAACTTGATGACATCAGCTCAGCCTCACTGTGTGCTTTACTGCCTTTTTATGACTATTATTTACAATGAAAATACCACAAAATGATACATATAATTAACTATGTATTCAGTAGTGATGAGACATTCTAATGATGTGTTTATTTTAATTTGGCACTTTTAGCCTGTCACAGAAGACTGTACATTTTTGGTGAATTTTCCACCTCAGGACCTCCATAGACATGGATGTCTTTTGCAGATGCATCAGCACATGTTTTGGCTATTTCACAAAGGATGAAAAGAAAGTCAGTGTGAAAGAAAAGGGAAACTTAATAAGGGCATGTGGGAAACGTTTTGCCACTGAGGACAGATTAGCACAACAGTCCTAGTTGTCCTTGGTTCTCTGTGTTTCTGACCAGGGGGTAAAATGTTAACAGGGGGCATTTTTGCACTTTTTTTCTTTTGGCACTTGCATTTTTTTGTCACTGGCTCTCTACTTTTTCACAATACAAATATTATAAACCACAAAATAGGAGTACTGTTCCAAGAGACTACTATTGCCAATTAGACCTTGAGGTCAGCCCCGCCAGGTCCTGCCATTTCATCACTCTTCCTCACTGGACTTGCTTCACCGGTCCTGCTTTGCATCATGAATGCTTGTTAAAGCAATACAGGCACAATCAAAGCAGAAGTGTGACCTGACCAGAACTGTGGTGCGTGAATCCACTGTTTTCCTACGACTTAAGAGAAGGAATGGTAAGGTTTTTGTGTTTTCTGCAGTATTAGTTGTTAGTGTAGGTGTAACTGCAGAGCTGAAGGTCGTGGCGCTTGAAGACTAATTATATAACCCGTGAGACATCTAATTACCTCTGAACAAACAAACAGCCTGATTGGAAAGCATGACCTCTGAAAAACGTTTCCAATCCGAGTGGCACCACATAATTGAACTTGTACATAAAAGGAACTCAAAAATGCAATTTCTGTTTAACCAGTCAAAGAAGATATGGACTTAAGTAAGCAATTCTAAATGTATGTATCAGATGATTTCTTTTGATTCCTTTGTTGAGAGTCCTTAGTACCAAGGCTATTGAGTTAAATTTAAACAGAGAATATAATATAAAAAGAGCTTTCTGTAATCATTTAATGTAAACTTACAAGAACATTGGCTGCACATGTTGTATTTTTTGGATACACATTACTTTGCAAAAGCAACCCCTCATTTCTTTATATTTTTTGCTGGAAAATTTGAAATAGTTGTAGTACTGAAAAATACATTGAAACACATTATATAATGCAAAAATATAATGTCCATACATTTCATACATCAAGCTAGAAAGTCAGTATTTGGTATGACCACCTTTACTGCTTCAATGCTGTTGAGGTTCAAGCTAAGAAGACTCATGACTCATTGTATTGCTCTGTGTATTTTTCTACCCAAGTGTGCTTTTAGTGCATTGGCAGTGTGTTTGGGATCGATGTCGTACTGAAAAATGAAGCTGCTGCCAGTCACATGCTTTCCAGATGATACTGCATGATGGATCAACTTTTTCATCACACCTGTTGCCACTGATTTTCAGTCCTGTCCAAAATGTAATGTACAGTATATTTAATAAGTATATGTATTTGGTCTGGAGGTTTAGGCTCCCCTGTTCTCAGCTGCCCAAACAAATTGTGAAACCATTAATCTGGCAGGACACTCCCCTGGGACTGTCCTGCAATCACATGGAAATAATACCTATATATAAAAAGTATACCTAAAGGTATTATGTATCGGTATAATACCTGTAAATGGTCACTGTACTGGGGATAAACCTGACTACAACAGTGTCTATGAGTCTGATATACTGTGTTCTGTTTGAATAATTTCTTCTTAAT